GGACGGCGAGGCTCGAACCCTCCGACCTCGCCGTCCTCTGCGACCGGCGGCGCTCACGGAGGCTTCAGATAAACTGGTAACACTTGACTTCAGTTCCTCTGTTCACAGCGGCCGCTCTCCGACCTCCGACAGAAACACTACGGCGCTGATCCCGTCAGCGATCATCTGTCGAACACTAAAACCGGTTTAAACTGCAGGTTTCAGTCGACCAGCGGACAGAAACACTCCGACAGTCGGAGGCCGGAGAGCGGACGGCAGCGGAACTGAACCGACCACTGATCGTTCTAACTGTTGAACTGAAGACGCGACAGGCAGCGAGGCAGGAGAGCAGAGGCTCATGGGAACCGGAGGCTCGTACACGTTTCTATGAGTTCGGTACAAAACTTTACACCGAAGCAGCCGATCGTTAATGTCGCAGCGACGTCTCGTTCAGATGTTCTGTGTCGAAAGTTAGAATGGATTCTGATTCGGTTTTTATAATCTGAAAGAAATCAGTTTGTGTCTTTAATGTTTCACTTCATTAAATATCTGTTCTGTTATCTGGAACAACTCATTTTGGCTGAAATTCGTTGGTTTGTAAACTGTAAAGACAATAAACCGTCACATCCATAAACTCTGCAGAACGCTTTGATCCCTCGTTCTTCTTTTATTCTTTACTTTACGTTTGGAATAAAACGTGCGAACGAGACATCAGAGCGTCTTTATCGAAAAGAGAAATCTCTGAATGTAGAGTTGGAGCTTTATTTCCAGACACCAAAGTTATTGTGAATATAAATATAAAATAATGGACAGCAACATAAAAACACACGTCGACTGTTTATTCTTTAACAGACTCAAAGTCCACTTACTTACTTCAGAGCTTTCAGCTGTTTAACATCAGTTTCTAGTTTTACGTTTATAAATAAATCTGAATAACTTTGTTTTAGGGAATAAAGCTTCAACCTTTCCGACTTACTATCAGAGATTTAATACAACGATGAGACAAAGACACAAACTGGGGCTCAAAGAACTGAAGAACAAGTAAAGTTCAGCTCTTCCTGTGTTCGGAGGTGAAGCTCCGACAGGTGAAGCTCCGACAGGTGAAGCTGGCGTCTGATTGGTCGGCTGCCTCCGCCTGCTGCCTGAGCGTCGGCCCGCAGAAACATCACAGCACTGTGACTCCTACAGACTTCTAATAACTGCGTGTGTGTAAATAACTGAGAGGAAAACTATGAGAATACAAAGGCGACACTGCTGTCTGGCATTTTGTATTTAAATTATTTATTTTTGTAGATTTTGACCGCTGAGCTCTGCTGTCACAGTCGTGCTCTTTCTATTGAATAAAGATTTATAAGAGAGAAACCGTCGCTGTGTGTTTGTACATTTAGCTGGTAGTTGTGCACAGAGAGGAAGATGAAGATGAAGATGTGAGTTATGTCTCCGGTGAAAAGCCGACCGCCCTGATGATCGACTCCACGGCGGCTTCAGGTCCCAGAATCCTCAGCAGGCTGTGAAAGGCCTCCGCAGCGCCGCCTACAGGCTGAGAGGGGAACAGCTGCAGCGCTGCAGAGACAGACAGAGAGAGACGATGTTAGAAACACTTATTATTAGTTTGAGATTTAATCAAAGAGAATATCTGAACACTAATTAGTTAATTTTAAATAATAATAATAGCGATCAGTCAACTGGTAGAAAATAATTTATTGTTTTAGTAATTCTTGTCTACAAACATCAGGTTTGTAGGAAATCACTTATTTAACGGCAGTTTAATCAATAAAAATACTGTTAATTGTAAGTATAATACTGAACTGAGTGTTTTATTCAGAGCTCAGATCAGATTTAAATTAATGTTTGAACGAGTTTAGTTAAAAGGAAATTATTAGCAAATTACAGACCTGTAGAATAAACTGAGTACTAATTAAATCCTAAGTAGTTTACATTTTTAAGTTGCTGTTTCAGAAACCAGCTGGTTTCTTTGTTCTGATCAATAACTGATCTGTAACAGATTTACACTGGAGACGAAATCCTTTATCAGTGCTACTCACGTGTTTGAGCAGTTTTTGGGGATCTGAGAATCTTTAATACATGTTTTGATTTACGTTAATACTTTCCTCCAACGACACAACTGAGCATCAGTCAAAGATAAAGCATTAAAGGACAGATTACAGATACAAATCCAACATTATCTTTAATTATCTGGTCTTTATCAAACAAAATGTGAGGTGATTTATTTATCCATCTGGACCATATTCCAC